TCTGATGCTGCATTATCCTGTAGATAGAGAGCAGTTCAGTTTTCCATACAGCCAGACTGGCATGGTGGAAGACATGTGTTACCCAAAAGCCTAGACACTTCCAGAAAAAGACTTTGCTAACAACCAGTCATCATTCCTCAAGAAAGATGAGCTAATTAGAAAATGAGTACATTTTTGCAACTTCTTTAAAATATCATCTCAGGAGCTTTCTGAGTTTTCATGAGGAATAAAATCTCCTCCTGCTTTTTTTCCACAAGGCCTTTAAATCTCCTATTGCCTTCAGGTAGCTTTTTCAACAGCCAAGACCATAACATTTCCTTACATTGTTACTGATGCTCTAATTATGAGTGCAGCATTTGCCCTGGAAATACAATAGGAACTCATAGATTATATTATCTAAACTAAGCACTATTTCCCTTCCCACTCATTTGGAAACTATCCCAAAAAAAAGCCTAACACACAGTTTACAGTTTATGCCCACTTAGGACTACATTAACAGCAGCAGACTTGCATGTAAGTAAATGTATCATAATTCTATGCTGTCACAGCTTTTGACTGATGGACACTTGGAAATTTACAGTAAACTCTGTGAAGTGCAGTGAAGTTTCTGTGGTTTTAAACCACGATTACATAAAAATCTGAATTTCACATTTTATGCTGCCTCTTAAAGCAAGGTTTGAGCCCTCAGAGCTGTGCAGACAGTTCAGATATGTGAATGTTTGCGAAACAAAAATCAGAAGGGTCACTGAATACAGATTTTTTAAAACATATCTCTGTATTTTTCAAACAACCTCATGATTTCTTAATGCTCCAAATTGAACAGTTTTTTTGCAAAGGAATTTTACAGAAGTTTAAAAGAGGCATGGCATTCTACAAGAATGCCGTAAATACATGCACAGCTTTCTCTCTGTCAAAGCATGATTTGCAGGTCTCCTTAATAAAAAGGCAGCTGGAAAGCAAAACACTTTGAGGGATTAACTGTAGAATTAATTTGCTGTTGGTTTGGTAATTTGTGAATTTTACAGATATGCTCCCACAGCAGAGAGAGAAACCAAATTATTTATAATGCTCTAATAGGGCAGCAGTTCTAGTGTACTACATCTGGAAATTAATATTTATATATTGAATAAGTTTTGCTATTAAAATTAAACTACGTAAAACTCTATGTATCTTTTAAAAATACAAGCAGAAACACACATCACTGCAGTACTGATAGCAAATAAAAAAAGCCCCAACATCCACAAGAAATTACACATTTCATTATCAGATTGTGGTTACACACAAGTTTATGAACAAACATATCTTTACCCACACTTCACTAAACAAGGCATATCCATTCAGGATATGAAGTTAACAATACAATAGTGATAGTTACCTTCCTAGAACTCAGATGGTTTTCACTATGGTGAAAAAAATGTACAGGAAACTGAGATTATGTCAGTGCTTTACAGACCATTACAAAAAGCAACAAAGAAGAAAAGCAGAAAGAGTTAATCCGATCTCTCTGGTTTGCAACCCTTTATACCTGCTAAGCACTGCTGACTGCATTTCAGATCACTCTGCCATGTGCCAGTGTTTCACCTGTGAACTGCAGTCTGGCATAATTTCATGTGAACAAAATACATCCTTAACTCTTGCTGTCAAACCCCCAAGCAACCAAACACACATACATGAAATAAGTAACCATCTGATACTCTCTGAAAGAGATACCATTTCAGTGCTGAGCATGATAGTCCACAGTCCACTTCAAATTTAGCTTAGCTGAATGTATATTCAACTGTTAAATGTTATGATCTGAGACAATGACTTCTCTTTGAGAAACATGTATTAAAGAAATGTGGTTTTCAAATTCTTTGAAGACCATGATCAGGTTAACACTTTCCTAAAAAAAAAGCATCTGAAAGTGTGGTAGATAAAGCATCCAAAAGTCACTGTAGATAGCTTGCACTAAATACAGAAGTAATGTGAAGAATTTCACCACATAACAAATACATTTTAAGAAACAATCTCCCCTCTTTTCCACCAGATTCTACTTCTTTGTCTCAGAAATAAAAAAAACCAAAACAGTCAGGAAAAAAAACCCTCAAATTATTTGCAAAGTAAATTCACCAAGGAATTGTTTTGGATTGACACTAGTATCACATTTTCTTCTGACATTCTATAGTCTACTATATTTAATGACAATCAATATTTATATTGCCTAACTTTAACACACATCAAGGTAACATGTCTGACATTATATTCAGCGTAGGCAGTTTCCACTTCTTAGGATAACAATTCAGTCAGATGTAATGCTAAATAAGATTTTAAGACAGCAGATGGCATCACTTAGTTATTTTTAACTGTTGCACACTGACCATTTACTGTGTATCATAATCCATTTTTTATGATGATAATCCATAATCCAGGAAATAACAACCAGGATGAAAACAGACCTGGCTCTAAGCTTTGAGAGGGACTACAAAACCAGATGTGCTATTCCATCTTCCTTTTATAATTTCTTTCTTAGTGTTCCTTGTATAATATCTAGGATATTGTAAGGTGATTAAAAAAAAAGGCAGAAATATGTATTTCCTTTGTAAATTCAGATGATATGCAGACTTGAAAAGGTACATATAAAAAAAAAGGGTCTGTACACAGGTTCAAACTGCCTGGAGAAAGGAGAATTCAGTGATGGCAATGTACCAAGTAATTTTTCTGAACCCTCTTCAGAATAATAAAAACATGCTCTACACAGGGTATTCAGAAAGTTCCTGTCACAGTAGTCAGTAGGTGTTACAGTCACAGTGTATGACCACAGAAGTGAATTTTTCCAGGTACTGTGGGGAACTCGAGCTTACAATGCCACCAGGGAGCAGCCAGCTGGACCACCATCATCAGGCTCATGGCAAGACTTGTGAATTGAAGGCTGGCAGCCCACGGTGCAGACCTGGAGCAGAGGTGGCCCTATGCTGGCTGATTCCAGGTAAGGCTGTTGGACTTGTCTCCTCCTGAACCACAAACTGTTCCAGAGTACAGCAGAGGGTCCCCTGAAACCTTGCATGAAAGAGATGCAGGAAAGGGGGAACAGACCATACAGAGAAGGGAAAAAATAAGGTCAGAATACAGGAGAAACACTATCCTCCTCACCCACACATGCACAGTTCTGCTCTTTTTTTCCCACTCCCAATGTCTTCTCCAGCCTTACTTTTTAAAAAGTCTTTTCAAAGAGCCATGCTGTACACACTGTCTGAATTTGGAGACTGCAGTCTTACAGATTATTGAGCAATTCTCTGCAGGCTTCCCAAGAGTAACCTTACTTGTTGGGTAAGTGCAAATGCCCACCAGAATTCACACTGAGTATTTAGTGTGCATTTTATAGCAGCCAAGAGCTTGACCAGAGCATCTTCTTTTGGTAGTAATAGATTTTTAATGAATAACGAGTCATGAAAACCAACAGGGCAAAGAAACTTGCATGGAAGCTACAGAATTCTTCAGAAAAGAAAAAAATACTGCAGAAAATACTGAAAAAAAAATGCTTAGAAATAATGAAGATATTAAAAAATCTTTTCATTTTCTACCTTTATAAAGCTCAGTTTTCGCCCCTAGTGTTCAGATCAGCATTACACTACCAAAGCATTCCTCCTTTATGCCCTAAGCCTAGGGCAGAAATAAGCCTTTTTAGTCACTCAGAGCACGTCATTATACCTCTGGAAAGCAAACAGAGTTCCAAAAGCTGTGAGGAACAGAGGGGAAAGAAAGGAAAGTAACAATCTCTGATACAATTAATTACTTTCTTTTTTTTAATGGAAGTCGCTTTCTAAAGTGCTGTTAGTGCATATATTAGACAAAATTTCTTCTCCCCACGGGTTAATTTCTTTTCCAACCTGCTAGCAATACAGATGGAATATTACTGCAGAACATAGAATCCATAACAGAATTAATTAAACTTATTTATCCAACAATAATTTGAATCCAAGCTAACACCACTGTTACTAATGTCACAATTGGCATTGATACTCACTGTAGCCATATGCTTTCTGCTGAGTCAGTTTTGAAATACCAAAGTCCAAAAGATAGACAGGAGATAGAAGAATAAATTCCTACAGGTCACCAAATAGTCGGTAATGTTATTTGTAGTGAACATCACAACCATAACAACAAGAATTATCTGATACAGTTGTCTACAGTGCCAGTGGTTTGCCTCAAGTGATCTTGCCCTGTCCTACGGTAGAGCTGCAACTCCACAAAACACAATTTGGACACAAAATCCACAAGACACAAGCTCAAAAGGTCTGTCCTCAGTGTAAGAGGTGAGGCAAAGTGGACTTAAAATTTTAGCTGAAGCATACTCATTGAAGCATTAGACCATATTCTGACATCACTCTGAGGACTAAAATTACACAAAAAGGTCTTGCAGGGCTGTCTAAACCAGAAGTGAGTCAGTGCCCTAAGCCCTGTTCCAATCAGCAGCTATTAAATTGGTTTAAACCCTGTAAAATACTACTGAGGACTTCCAGTGCATTTATGTACCTAGGCATTTCCAAATATTTGGTCTCTAGATACAGGTGGAGCCCTTTAAAATTCCCCAACATGGAAGTCATTCTGTCCTATTTGATGAATTCTGTGGTAATTGAATCAAACAATCAACCTATGTATTGCATTCTTTATGCACAGGCACATATACAGAAACAGAAGAAAAGCATTTTCTAAAATCACAGGGAAACTTTTGTAGACATGCCTACATTATTCTACAGTCACCTACATCAAGCTTTTGAGATAAGCTATGTTAATGAAGCATTAGACTCCCCCCAGGAGAATTTATTTACTTCTGACAGGAATAAGAAGATTCTCACCAAGAACCCCAAAAGGATTCAGGTAATGATTTGCTTTCCAGCACATAGAGAATAATTTCCTTCCCAAATACTCCTTCCCATTTTTTCTAGACTAATCTTCCCACCTAAATTCTGAATTTAAATAAGCAGTAAGAATATTTCTCAAGTGCATAACAATCTACTTACACCTTTATCCCAATCCCAGCTGTCCTAGTTGGTTTGCAGACACCTGTGCAGCAAATGCCAAAGGGATTGGTTATCTCCTCAGTTCCTTTAACAGAGTGCAATTGTGAAAACATGAAAAATTATCTCTTCGTTTCTGTCTTCTACAGTGCTTCTGAACTGGTGGTAGGAGGAGCAGAAAGTCTCCCTATCTTGCAGTGTGAGAAAAAGCGAAAATTCCCATCAGAAGTGACTCACCAACATTAATCATATATACACCAGATTGAAAGGCACTCAGAACATGAAGTCTGAATCCCAGCCTCAGTTAAGCAAATGAGAAGCAAATTTCTCAGTACTACCATATTCTTTAACTGCTGTATCTGTACAGTTTTGCACAATGAAGCTGATGAATATAAATTTATTGTTTCTAGCACTGAACTTCTACAGAGAAGCGTTGCTGAATCTTTTTGAAGAACAAGCAGCTGAGTAGCATGGAACTTCCTGTGTCTTGAAATGAATAAGCACCAGTGTAAAGGTTTTCACATGTAATGCATTCATATTCACGTGACTTACCACCTGGCCTGTGCATTAAAATGAATATCCTTATAGCTTAACCAAGCAGATGATGATCAGAATCTTAAATAACCAAATTAGACTGCAAGTCAAGACATTTAATCTTCTGTTTGCTTCTCATGGGGAGTACTCTGAATTTTTATTCACCAACACAAAATCCAAGTAAAAAAATCCAGAGTGTACTGTTTCAATTCAGGACTACAGCTGAATATTGGGAATGAGTAGGCTTGAAGAAAAAGAGAAAAATAGTAAGTAAAAGTACTACTGCCTCCAAAAGGAAATTTGAGAATGAGAGGTTTTATTTTCTTATTTTAACAAAGCCATCTTTGGACATATATACATGCTACTTGAATCTACAAAGCAGGGAATTTTCCCATTCACAGGTCTGCCATACTGCTCTACATTCTTCATAAACTGGACTCAGGCTTTTTTGCCTTTCTAGTATTCTCAACTCTATATAATACTAACAATCCAGCTCTCACAGCACTATCCCCAGAATTATATATAATATATAATATATAAACAATATTCTATTAGCCATCATTTTGTATGATTACAAAAAGTAAACTACATCCTCTTTTTCAGGGAAAAAAAACCTAGAACTAGATTGCAGTCTGTCACAGTCCTGTAAATTCAGGATAAATCAAGTGCTGCTCTAACATTACCTTGCCATAAAAGAAAACAAGCCTCACTGCAATACAGTGCTTGAGCTACTGCCAAGTTAACAGTGTCTATTGGCATTCAATTACACTGCAGCTCCGGAAGCTAAGGCACAACTTTAGCATGAACAGGGCTGCTCTGAGCAAGAGACTTGTTCCATTCAGATCAACACTCACCTGACAAATAGCTTTAACAGATAGCAGTGTGTGACACACAAAACCAGGCAAGAATATAAATTTAGCTCCTCACTGATTGCTAGAGGATATTTAACTCAAACATTATAACTACCACTGTAAATAATAACAATACGTACGTAAATCCTGCCTATGATTTGCAAACTTAAGAACAAAATTGTCAGATTTTCTTCTGAGCAGATGCATTTAAAAGAGTCCTGGTTTAAAATTGGGTCTGATACACTTCAGGTATTTATATTTCCCTAGAGAAAATGCTTGCATGACTTCAGAGCTTCAGCCTGTTCTAGTTTCTCACCAACAGAAGACCTTGCTGCTTTGGACAGATAACGTCTTGCTTCTGGCATTCCCTCTCCCAAACCCTGACAGGTAGCAAGACCCCCAGGATGAGCACAGTGATATCTCACTCTCTGTGACATAGGAGTATGGCTTTTTGCATAAATATGCTGCTTCAGACCTAGATCATGACCATGAACTTTTGAGAAGCTTTTTCAGGCAGATTGATGCTGTGCCCTCATCCTTTAAAAAAATCAAACTTGACTTTGTCATCCGAAATTTGAGGTACCCCAAAACACTCCTCCACTTCCGAGACACTTGGGTCTGCTTGTGCATCATTCAAGGAAACAAAAGTCTAAGAACTAGAATCACAAACTGTCTATGATGCCACATTTAAAGGGGTCCCTAGCAATGTCAGTAAACTAAGTTAGCCAGTGAGAAAGAGAGGAGAGCTAAATGGGACCTGGCAGGGTGGAATAGGTACAGAGCTCCAATACAGACCCAATACTATCTCTCTCTCTCTCTCTCTCTCTCTCTGTTATGAATACACACAAAGACAACTTTGCCCCAAAGGAAGCTCACATCAATCTTTTAGTAAATGTTAGCTGGAGCAGGACCTCACTCATTTGTTCTGCTTTTACACCTTGTTTGTGGGAAGTTTTTCTAATGTCTTAACTGGCAAAAAAGCTGAACACAAGGAAAGCCTTTTTGAAAACAGAGCCAGGTTAAGGTTCACAAACTTCTCATGAGGTTCCTGAAGGTTTTATTTTACAGATTCAGTCACTACTTTGTAAAGCAAGAAAGACAAACATTGCATTTTTTGGTGACTAGGCTTTTCCACAGTGTTTTGACATGTTTGAAAGAAATGCACTCTGTAGAAATAGTTAGAGACATCCTAAGATGCAAATGTCCCTTAAGAATAACTCCACATCCTCTGGGTAAAGATTTTATGTAGTAAGTAAAAAGAAAGACTAGTGATAAAGCAATCCAAATTGCTACTTATGGTCCCAAGGCCATGCTATTGTAGTCTGATGTGCAAAAGCATGCAAGATCTTGAAATGTCATATTAATAATGTAGAAAAGTTCCATCTAAGGACTATCACATAAGTTGTTACATAAGATCCTATGAAGGAAAAAAAAATCAGAAGACAAGTCTTTGTTTCTTGGTAGATTATGAGAACATCAAAAAATGACTGTTTAATTTTACTTTGAAAATGAACACCTCTACTCTCTTTTGTGAAGTGTTAGAAATAAGTGGGAATAATAACTCACAGCATTTGAGAGCTGAGACTCGTAAGAACAAATCAACCATGATCAGCTTGGAATCTATGTTTATAACATATACAACTTATTTTATATCTTGTTGCAGAGGGGACCAAGCCATACTCCTTGAAGTACCCAGCTCTCCATAACCACTCAGATTTACATGTGAGAAAACCAAAACAAAATGTTGGTGCCACATGCCTAAGACTGTACACAGGTGTTTAAATTTAGACCAGGGAAACTTCCCAGGTCTCCACAGCCCTTCTGGCACAATCAGTAAAATGTCAGTCTGGTCTCCATACCTCAGCCCCACCACACCACACTGAGGTCCACACAAAAGTGACTGAAAAGGCAGAAAATACAGGAGGTGGTCTCTCAGAGGTACATGTGAAAGGCCACATGCTTACAGGACAAAGAGATGACCATTTTTCATTCAAAAACATGGAAATAGGCTATTCGGGGGAAAAAAAAAAACCTTAATGGCCCGAACACTACACAGATATGGGAATATATTTCTGGGATTAAAAAAAAAAAAAAGAACATAAGTAAACTAAGAAAAGGGTGAATGAAGAAAAAGAAACAAACCCTCAAATCAAACCCAAAAGTCAGATGTGATAAGCAGTGGAAAAAAAAAAAAAAAAAACAACAAAAAAAACATAATGAACCAAAGCAAACAGAAACAGAGATTCCTGACTTTAGGTTATTCTCTAATCTAGTGGCTTGTAGCTTTTCCAAGAAACTGCCCTTAAACCTCCCTGCAGGCCACCCTGGAGATCAGTGAGCCCACGTTTCCTGGGCCCTGTGCAGCCCTGTCTGGCAGGTCTGTGATGCAGCACCTGCCTCGTCCTTCCCATTGCACAGGGAGCTTAGGCAAGCACTCGAGGCTGCAGGTTCCCCTCCAGAAAAAGCCAGGCATTTCAAAAGCCTGTTACAACTCTGCAGTTTGGCACTTCCCTCCCTATTTTCATGGAGCCCCAAGGAAATTGTTTAAGGTCAGCAGGAATGCATTTGTGGAGGCAGGGCAGAAGTGCAGCCCAGCCCCAGCTGCCCCAGCGTGAGTGCATGGCCCAAGGTCCAGCGCTTAATCCCCTCTGCTCTCCAGATGCTTTACAGCAACTGCTCCCAGACAGCCTGGAACACAGTGTGAAGAGAGCTAAATTCAAGTACATTTCTCTGCTCTTAAGACTCCGAGACTCCTCTTTCTTGTCTGTTTAGAAACATACTGAAGTAACATACACCATAAATAAAACAAATGTCTTTGGAAAAGGCCTCAGCAAGATGCTCAGAAAGTTTTCTGCAGTTTGTGATTCAATCTGTTTCCTTCTCCAGTTTAACCTGACATGTTGGGTTGTTATTAAGCTGTGTGATGCTTCAGATATTTTCAGTAAGTCTTGCTGAGATGAATTTTCCTCCTATTTAGACTAAATGTCAGTTTTCATCCCTGTTATCTGAATTTTTCACTGATCAGAGAAAAAGTTCTAAACTATGTTCTCCATTGATACGGAGAAAACAGAAGGGAGCTGATCTGAATATGGAAAATCAGAAATTGCAAGGCAATCTAAATAGAAAACTCTCATGAAATTTAAGACTCAGGGGCAAGGGGATGGTTTTCTCTTCTACACTTCTAATTAATTTCTACCCTGTTAAATACACCCAAATGTACATTTGCTTTTGTTTCTACCTAATGATATAAAAGTCCCAAAAAATTATGCTGGTAAACAGGAATAATGACCAGTCTTGATGGTGATATAACAAGAAAAGAACAAAAGAAGGATCGTGGAAAAATTGTGGAAGCAAGCATTCAATACCCAAAGGAAACAATTCATGGGAAGTTAATGAGTAGCCAATATGAGACTGAGCAGGAAATCAACAGTGTCAGACACCTATGGAAGAAAACAAAATGTAAACAAGGGGAACACAGAATGAAATAGAATGTTAGCAGCAGGTAAAGAAAAATTCAGGACTTCAGAAAATGAGGAGAATTGAAACGAATTTCATTTGAGTTGAAATACAATCAGATGCAGGAAAGTAAGAAAAAACAAGGCCAAAAGAGTCACAAATAATTTCAAAAAATATGACACTATTAAAAAAATAACGTGATATACAAATTTTGGCAGCCTGTCAAATTTTAATTACCTTTTCAATTACTAATTATGTCTTATAATTGACTGAATGAGAAGACAGAATTTCAAGTGTTTTAATGTTACCTTTTTTT